AACCTTTACACATTTTCCACCCATAATAAATGCCACCACAGGGATCATAAACTGGATATAAGGAGTAATCCAGCTGCACTACGCAAACATGTGGGCCAGCATCGCTAACATTTTCTTATCAAACAAATACAAAAAAAAAAAACCAAACAAAACCCCACCCAACAGAGTGCTCTATCACACTCTGGTCAGGATCTGTCCCTTTTTATTCTTATTCCAGTGCCCCACATTCGGCGCCAGTTAATACTGTGCAAGGTTTAATCCTTGCTGGGATGAGAGAGCATGTTGCCGTTGCCCCTCCCCCACCCCCGCCCGTCGGGCTGGAAGTTAGACACAGACCCCGGCTAAAATAACAAGAAATTTAATACAACAGAGTGATAGAACAATCTGAACAACAACAGTATCAATGGTAACAACAATAAACAGCAATAACAGTGAACAAGACAAACGATATACAGAGAAATACCGCTAGCTGGTCTGCGTAAAGCAAAGTTCCCTCCCAAACCCGCCAAAGAGCAAGGAAAATGTTCAGCCCCCGGACCCAACGTCAGTATGGTATGAATAACCCGACTGGAGATCCCTTCCCCCTCTCTCTCTGCTGGGGAAACTTTATCCTGGCTGAACCAGGGCAATATAGTTGAAGATTACTCTGATTCATGGGTATTTCTAGCACAGTTACTTATTGTAAACTGCTTTGTGCATTATTTGAATAAGCTACGTAAGTCCTAAAGCAGTGTTTTAATACGTTGTTTGATATTATGGTACAATTAATGATTTGTCACTACTTAAATTTTGTAAACTGCTGCGTACTGTAACTTTTTTTACTGTTTGTTTTTGAAAACCAAGCTACCATAATCCATATATATGTCACGTCTAGTACCTACTCAAGTGATACAGACAATATTTTCAAAAAGAATTCTCTATTTAAATTTATATAACCATCACTTTTTAATATCATAATACGTACTTTTTAATATAACACTTTTAAAATAAACTTTTCAATATCATAACATGTTATAATATGCTATAACACTTTAATTATTAACATGTTATAAAAATGTCAATAATGTTAATATTATTAACGTGTGTTATGTTATAACACTTTCTAATACACTTTTTAATATCAGAACATGTTTAATATCATAACATGATTATTTTATGGAGCAGAAATTTGAAAAGTATACCAACTCTGAAGTCTTTCCTATTTCTTTGCTTTAATACGATAGAAGAAAAGCGTCCCTTTGATCTTGAATTCTTTGCTCAGCTGCTTGAGAAGGTCTTAGCAGATGAGGAAAAGAAGAAGCAAAAGACTGTTAAAAGCCAGAAGCCAAAGGGAAAGAAACCATCACAGCCTCAGAAGAAGCTAAAAGGTACTTCAAAAGAATGCTTGAGATAACACTGCAGAGCAGTGGTCAGTAATGTGTTGGTAATAGAGGAAAAATCACATAAGGACTATTTTCCTTCCCTGTTCCGGAGAGGACAAGAGGATCCTGGCTTCATAACATAACTTTTTCATATGTAGGTTACTGATGTGCAGGATGCTATTAATTGATAATGGTTTCCTGAGGTGCTTTTTCTCTGAGCAGGAATGCGAGACCACGCTGAGATTAGTGCTCTGCCACAGTCTGAAGCACTGATATTCTAAATGGCATATTCTAATTTAACAGTTGATAACTATCTCTGTGAGTTGCTAATGAATTCACTTCTAGAATCCTTGGGCCAAACCCATATTTTTGGCAAGCTCTTCTATTACTTTTTAATTTAAATTTTTCTTGCATTTAAAACACCACTTAGGGGTTCTGGTTCTCCTTTAATTATAATTTCTAACTCCCTAAGTTTGAAGGGTGTGATTCTTTCCAGGGAGTTTTTTAGAAGTTGTTTCAGTTTTCTGGTCTACTCAAAATAAAGGATAAAGGTTATGTTTCATTACTGTTGATTACCATGTAGTGTCATCTTACCTCAGTACCTGTTAAAGGCCTTTCTTAGATGTACTTAAGTTTAGAACAGTTCTATTGACACAATTTCATAAATTCCCTGCTAATTCTGTGGGGTTGCTCAGTTGGTTGTGTCACAAGGACCCATTTTCTTTTAAGTAGTATTCTGGAACAAACAAGTGAACAACATTTTTTAAGGGGATGCTAGCTAGGAAGCAACATTGCTGTTTAATTCTTAAAAATGACATAGTTTCTGCTTTGCCATAGACTTGACTTCTGCTTTTTTTAGGTAGAATGTCTCACCTGTTAGGACTTACAGCCACATACAGAAATTCTGTTAGTAGTCTTCAGTGGTAGATTAAAGTTACTTTATGTGTAAAGCAATGTGAATATGCTTTTCTACTCCCCTTGCATTTTTGGATTTCTTGATTACAGGGGAGCAAGTTTGTGGAACAATAATAAAAAGGCCAAGGAAAGGCTCTTAGTGGTTGATATTCTGCATAAATACAAGATCAAGACAAAATGTCCAGAAAAGTGGAGGGGGGAGAATTCTAGAAACTCATTAAACCCAGAAGAAACTTGTGAATTATTAGCAAGATAATAATTCAGCTTTCTTATATAAATAAGAAGAATGAACTAAAATACACTTACTGATGAAAATTGCTTTTTCATGGCATACTCTCTGCAACCATCATCACCTCTTTGTGCAGAGATGTAATTCTTTTCAGGAATAGCAATGCCTATTTTTTGTGGATCCAAAAATGACTATATAACCTTCTAAAAACATTTACATTGACTTTACATCCTGTATTGACTTTACCCCGGTGTTGTCCCATGTACAGAATATGTTTTGTATCTAGTGTTGAAGTTTATCTATGCTGAAGCTTTTCTACTGAGTCAGTAACTGACTTTTCATGGTCCTGCTCATACACCTGGCAGTATATTGGCAGTGATGTATGAATTCACAGGATGTTGCTAGTGGAAATATCTTTGTGAATTGTGGTTCCTAATACTCTACTAGGCTATTAACCAGGAAGCATATTCTCTCAATAGGAAAAGCTGCCAGCACAGAAGCTGCCAATGATCAAGATGATCTTCAGGAAGCCAGAATTTCAGATGCAGAAACAGAAGCAGATTCTGTGATGGCTGAGAAAGAAAATGAGGAATCTTTAGGCATTTCTGAACAGGCAGAAGAACAGGTGGCATTAGAGCCAACATTAGCAAAAAAGAAGAGAAAGAAGAAGAGAAAAGATGATCCTGAACAGGAATTAGAGAATCTTCCAGAAGAAATGGCTGTCCCTTCAAAAACTGCAGAAGGGAAATCCTCTAAGAAAAGTAAGAGGCAAAAAAGCTTACTTTCAAACATTCAAATATAAATTTTAAAAATGAGAACTTGGGTTTTGGTTTATATCACTGATCTGCCTTGGGAGGTAGTGGAACAATGCCTTTCAAAATCAGCTTTCATACTAAATCTAAACATTTTATTTTATTTGAGAACAGTTCTCTTAAATCTTAATACTTTGGAATTTTCTAATGTTTTTTTTTTTTTTCTTAAATTAAATCTTGCTTCACTGTAGCTAGAATTTGAGAATTGGAATTCTTAAGATGATGCCCAGAATGTCCAAATTGGTTTCATTCTTATTCATTGGCAGGGAAAAATGTGGTATGTGGTGCACACACTGATGGTCATACTACCTGTAGAGAAGAATTGGATAGCGGTATTGAAGGAAAACAAGATGAGACTGCTGCTACAGAGGGAGAGAGATCAGAGTCCTGTTCACCAGTGGATGACATAATGGAGAGAGAAAGTGATGTCAATTTATGCAGGTAATGCTTACAATGGAAAACATAGGCAGAATAAAAAATAGTAAACTGGTTTTATTTGCTCATGCTAACTGGCACAGAATGGGCAGGTTTTTGGTTTCTGAGGACTGTGCTGTGTTTTAGTAACCTGTTTTTAATTTATACTCTCAGTATGTTTTCTGCCCTGATGGGCTGCTATTTGCAAAATTAGTTTGCATTAATACTAAAATCCTATGCAAAAGTGCTTTCACTTTTTTTTTTTTTTTTTTTTTTTTTTTTTTAGAGTGTTCATAGACTATTGGCTTATCCTAACTCATAAGATTTCTCTCAAAGCACTGCTTGGTAATGCTGCTATAGCATTGCTATACACTTGGAATTTTTATCTATTTTTAATAAAATGGTTCTTGTGGGACAGGAAAGTTGCTTGGACTTTATTTGTGCAGAACCTGTGTGGGAGGCAAGCTTTTGGTTTCAATTTTGGGCATTCTTTTACTAGAAAGTGAATGTTTTATTAAACTTGTTATATAAGAAAGCAGTAAATCTAAAAAGTCATTATGAAGCTGTTAATGCTTCTTCAGAATTTTGGGTGTTGTTGTATTTAGCCGTATTGTAATTGTTTGTTATTCCATACAGATTTCCAGAAACTTTCATGTGCTTTAAACCTTATTGGAAGCATATAAAGGAACTATATTTTGTCGTTGAACTCAACACAGATTGTTACAGAAGGTTAGGGGGGAAAAGCTTCTGCATACAGTGTTTATGTTAGTAAAGTCTGTTTTAAAAAGCTATATAGTTTTTTTGATGGGATTTTAATGTCATCTTGTAATAGCATTGTAAAAGTGCAAAAGTTGTTTTAAAGCTCATCCTGCAAATATCACTGAACTTGTCAGATTCTTTCAAACACATGTAATTATTTAATGTCAAAATTGCATATTTTTTTTGATCTATCTGTAAATAATAGCTTTTTCCTTACAATACACTGATAGATTTTTTTGTGTGCTTTTGTTGATTTCAGCTTTGAAGATAGCAATTATGTTGTACTAGAAATAGAATCTGCTAAACTGAGAACCCTAGATATTGGAGATGATACATCACAGGAGAGCCAGATTTCAGAGTTACTGGTTTCAAAGATTAGAAGCAAGGGACAACCTGAAGAAACTAGAGAAACCAAGGTATTTTTATTTTTTATGTAGTTCTTACTTCTTAAGATCTTCCTCTTTACCATTAAAAGTGTTTTTGTAGATCAAAGCTGTTTTTTAATTGGTTTTATGATGTTTCTACCACTGGGTGAAAAAATAACAAGCCTGAGAACCTCACCAAAATTTAAATACTATTAATTTGTCTGGCTTTTATGGGTTGTCTGTTATACTAAATTTAATCAGGGAGTATACTGTGCATGCCTGGCTTATCTCACAGTTTTAACAGCTGAACAATTTTAGGTATTCAAAAGTGAAACAATACAATATCAACAGTAAAATCTTGGAGCAAGATTTGCTGGCATACATTTAGTAGCATGATGTTGGAAACTTACTTAAGAAGGATGAGCACTGGGTTGGTTGTGTTGCCTCAGAATGAAAACCTGTATAAAGTCTTGTCCACTGTTACTGGCTGCCATGAGGTGTTTCAGGAAAGATTTAAGAAACTGGACCAAGATTAAATTGTCTTTCTTTGGGTGTGTTCTGATCAGGTCCAGAAGTTTAGAAGCTTCTTGAGATTGTGTCTGGTTTCTTTTGAAGTCTTTGATGTACCTCTCACGAGTTTGTCTAGCTGATTTTTGCATCTGTCTGTATCTTTGTGGTAAATTGTGTACTACAGCTGAGAGTTCATTCCTTTAAGTATTAATTTGATATGAAAAATGTATTCTTTGGATTGTTTTAAGCCTGGTGCCTGATAGTTTAATAGGCACTGTACTTCCATTGTTATGTTCCTGTTCATCGTCTCCAAGCTACTCTTGTTTATAATGCCACTTTTTCCTCTCTCCAACGATTTTCAAACCAAAGAATCCTAATCTTACATTTCTCCTCATATAGAGAAAGTTCCATTCCTATGATCACCCTTCTATCCTTGCATCCTTGTCATTTTTGGAACTTAGTATCATACTCTTTAAAGACTTATGCTGAGGGGGAATGAATTACTTTATCTTGTGCTTTCTAAGATGAAGAATGATCTTATGGCTAAAGTCTGTGGTGAGAGGTTAGGATATTCTAAGTGTTGGTGATTCCCTAATGTGATGGGTAAATTATTTGTCCTTTGGCCTTTATTTTAGATTCTGTTACCTAAAATTTTGTCTTAACGGAAAATCATCTCTACTTTGCAAATACTAAATGCCTGTACTTAGAAATGTTGTAACACAGTTTCCTGATATTAGTTAGAATAATATTTATAAAAATCAGTGAGCTGGACAGGGCAATGTGCTACATACACCAGCCTGTTATAGTGGTGTTGGTAGCCTGGGTAGCTAAGGTCTCTGCCTGATTAATTATGGCTGTTTGACAAGAGAAAAAGGCATAATAACCTCTAAAACTGATAATTTCAAAAGAGCTTTTGTGTCAGTTATAATTCTCTCTGCTGTGGTTAAGTTACTTTAAAAGTATGTAAACAATCACTGACTATTTCTACAACTAGAAATACTCAGCCAACCAGTAATGTGAAACAAAATTCTATAAACATTATTGAAGAAGTAAATCAAATAGAGAAATAATGTTTTTATGCAGTGGGCTTTTACCTTAATTCACTAAATAGATTCCATAAAATCTTTGCTGTAATTGTGATTAGTTTGCTATATTGTTCAAATTGGTTTTTTTTCATTTTGAGTGATGGTCAGTGCTCTCTAGGAAAATAATTTAAATACTAGACCTGCAGGTAGTGATAGCTGATAACTACTTAAAGAGTCGTCACCTTTGTACAATTAATAAAGACAGAAATGGGTTAACTGGAACCTGATGAACTTTAACAATGGGAAGAACAAAGTCCTGCACCTGGGGAGGAAAAATCACAGGCACTGGGGACCACCCAGATGGAAAGCAGCTTTGCAGAAAAGAACCTCGACATCCCAGTGGACACCAAGTTGAACATGAGCCAGCAATGTGTCCTGGCTGCAAAACAGGCTTACAGTATCCTGAGCTGCATTAGGAGAAGCATTGCCAGCAGGTTGAGGGAGGGGATCTCTACCCCCTATTCAGTGCTGGTGAGACCACACCTGGAGTACTGTACCAGAGCAGCCCAAACTGGCCACAAGAGAAGCATGGACACACTGAATGGAGTCCAGAAAAGGGCCATCAAAGATGAAGAGACAGAAGCATCTTTCCTAAGATAAAAGGCTGAAAAGAGTGGGGACAGTTCAGCCTGGAGAAAGAGAAGACCTGGTGAAAGTGGGTGAGGAAATCTCAATGTATATCAATACCTGAAGGGAAGGTGTAAAGATAGATGGAGACAGACTCTTGTCAGTGGTGCCCAGTGACAGGACAAGAGGCAATGGGAACAAAATGAAACACAGGTTACCTAAAGAGACTCAGGAGTCTCCATCCTTGGCAATATTGAGAAGCCATTTGGACATGGTATTAGGCACCCAGTTCTAGGTGACCCTGCTTGAGCAGGGGGCTTGGACCAGATGACCTCCAGATATCCCTTTCAACCTCAACCATTCTGTGAATCTTGTTCTTTCTGCTTTTCTTTATAATCCAGCAAAGAGTTCTTCTGTGTTTATTATTTCTTTTCTATAGCATTATTTTCTTTTCCTTGCTCAGAACAAGGACACACATGACTTACGTAGACCAAATGAAAAACAGCATGCATCAGAAAGTGATTCTCAGTCTGTAATCATGTAAGTAGAATTATTTTACGTTGCAGTGGTACTTGAGCTAAACCTGCATTTGCTTAATTTGGATACAATTCTGATTGGCTGTAGCAGGTTGGACTAGATGGTAGATCACAATAAATTTTTTTCCATATTCAGTGAAGTTTTTTGATAGAAATTTTGTTCCCTGTGGAGGAATGCTTTAAGATTTAAAATGTTAGATGGGAATGAAGAAGACTTAACTAAGCTTAGAAAAAAGCTAGCCCCTCTACAGTCAACAAGAGCAAGACATGTCTGAAATTCTGCCATTCTGTGGGTGAACCTTGGTTGTGAAAGTTGATTTTTTGTTTTTATTTTAGTAAAAGGGGCTCATTGTATTTTTTGAATTTCACAGTTGTCCATCAGAGCTTATTTGTACACATCATGTGTATGGTATATTAATACCTTCGTAATTGGAAACTGTTGCTATTTGGAAATCAGGGCAGGAGTCTTAAGCTGGGACACGTCTCTTTAAAAGATACTCCCAGGTGTTTCTGTCTTACCTGTGCTCCTTTATCAATTTAATCATTGTGACTGTTTCTTACAGTTAATGCTGTAACTGAGCAGGTATTTAAATGAGTTGTGCCTAAAGTTTCCATTTTTTTTGCAATCAGTGACTTCCTTTTCTATGATACAATTTTTCAAAAGTGATTTAGGGATAGCCTACTAGTTAATACTAAATTTTTCATGCTTCTGTCTTTCCCGTATTGAAGGGCAGCTCACTCTTGTGGTGAAGGTTGTAAAAGTTTTTTTCTGTCCTGTCCTAGGAAGAATTTAAGAAAAGATAGTAGTCCCAATCTGAAGTGGAGTGATAAGATGTAGGTCTGTCTCAAACAGTGTGTGAATCCTGGAACATGCTATTGCAATGGTTAAGGGTACAGAGATTGATATATGTACCCCATTTTTCAATAATGTATGGATGTTGGTAGGAGGACAGGGTGTTTGAAAACAGTGGTTTGTAGCCTGTGAGTGAGATTTGATAGAAGATGGAAGGACAGGAGAGACAGATGAAAAATTTTGTATAAAAAGCAAATCTGCTTAACTTGGGAGCAGATTTCTATTGTTTCTATTGAAATTGATATGCCTGTTCACATTGACATCAATTATGAACCTCTGGAAGAGGTATTCCTATTTATTTAACAGGAAGAAACACTTCAAATATTCTAAGTATATTCCACTGGAAGCCAGCAAAGTTATTAAGGTTTATTTGACACTCTTTGCATTAAGTAGTAGCATATCTTCTAATACCAGAAAGATGTAATTTTTTTATTTTTTTTTATTGTCTTGCTGCATTACCCACTCAGTCTGTGGTGCTCTTGAAATACATCTTGGACCATATAGAATAAGTTTCTTTTTGGTAATAATATCTTATATCTTAAGGAAAACTGAGAAGCCAGCAGACAGAGGGCGCTTGCAAAGACCTAAACCCAATTTAATGAGGTCATCTGCAAGGAGAGAAGCAGCAACCCAAGAGAAAAAGGTCAAATCTTCCTCTCCAGACTTCGTGAACGCAGATGAAAAGGTCAGAAAAGTGAAACGTAGGTTGATATGGTACGGTCTTGCTACTGTATCTGTTTTTATCAATGCTGATACTGTGGACCAGCTACAGTCTAATAAGTAGTATTCTGAGAATTGCTTCTGAGGTATCTGCACACTTGTCCAAGAGTAATATTCTTTGCCTCAATTACAGTGCTCTGAGGAAGACAGTAGAAGAAGTAGAAATGAAACCACAGAGGTAGAGAACACAGATTTGGATACTAAATCTGAGTAAGTATTGAGATTGCTTCTCCAGTCTCCTGAATTAACCAACTATAATTGTTAATTTATTCTTTGTACCACTCTTATAAGAAGTATTTTTGAAATTTTAATATAAACCTTAAATTTGACTTTGGCATTTTCTTGGATGATGTCAAGTGATACTATGGTAGAATGTATGTGCTGCTTTTCTGGGAAGCTGAGGAAAGCATTACTTTTATGAAATACCAACTATGCTTGGAATTTGTGAGGGGGAAGGATGGGCAAGTGATAACTATGGGCTTTGCCTGCCTCCCACCCTCAGTTGCCAGCTAATGTCTCTGCTTCTGACACTTGCAGAAACAGCTGTGGTATGCAGTCTAGTTAAGTTCCTCCCCTGTGTGATAACTTCATACCTTTTTAATAGGAAAATAAATTGAGTTTCCACACTCTGTAAGACTAAAAGTTTGGCTCTCATGTGAGGAAACTTGCATAAGTTTGTACAAATCCTTCTGAAGAGAACCCAATTCTAGTAAAGAAAGCTGTACAAGTTATTGGATATTACATGGACGAGTATTATGGAGTAAATGTCACGGTTGTGGATCCTTTGTACAGAGAACCTGAAAAATCTTTAACTGGAAAAGCAATAGTTAGAGGATGTCGACAGAGATTTAAGCCTAATGTTACAGGAGCATCTGGAAGGAAGGAGCTTGAAAAAGATGCAGGAAATGATCAACAGCCTAAGGGGAAATCCAAAAAGGTAACTGGAGATAATATGTTAGCTAAAAAGCTGCTGGATGCAACAGCAATTTTATTTTTCTTTGTTTTTTCCCTGAGTATGTCCGGGAATCAGTCACTTAACCTGCAGCGACACTGTGATTTTGTGACAGTGAGGCCTCAGCTAAGCTGTGAGCTTCTCATACAAACAGTAGATGCCAGTTATCTTTCATGTCCTGCAGTGAATGCAACTTCAGTTGTTTGATCTAGATTTTACTGCACCTTTCTGACTATGTGAAATGTACTCTGTAATTGGCTGTGTCTGTTGTAAACAATCCATGTTGTATCCTGTTATGCACAGTTATGTGGTCTGTAATGTTGTACTTAGAGAGTTAATGTCTTAATGTTCTGTTTCCATTCAGAACACTGACCAAAGTAATAGTTCTGATGCTACCAGTGAAGAAGCTGCAGAAAGAGATGATAAAGTCCTGGAGACAGTCTCTCAGTAAGTATGTGAAAAATGAAGACATATGCTGCTTTCCAGCAATTTGCCACCCCTTTCACTTGTGGTAGTATTACATTGTGTGGTACTTACAGATGTTTCTTCAGAAACTTGGCAGTGAGACAGAAATTGGGAGAAGAATTTAAGAATCTTTTTTAATGCATGAAACAATTTAAAAATTTTTAGTTTTAAAGCAGTGCTTTTAAATAGGATGTCATGATAAATGCTGAAAAAAACCCTGAAAAGTTAAGACCCTTGAAAACTAAAACAAGCCTTCCCTGCTAGCTTTAGTACTGAAATGCATCAGCTTCAGTGGTTAAGTATTTAAACAATAGGAATAAGTGTTTCTAAAGTGTAGTTAAGTTTTAGGAGTCTAGTATTAGGAGAAAAAATTCCGGTGTGGGCAGTTTAATGCACATGCTAATTAAGAATTGTTTCTTTTTTTTTCTCTTCAGTGGAAAAAAGGCAGCTGTAGGGTAAAAGGGGGACTACATTTTACAGGAGAGATAGTTAAAAAAAAACAAAAAACAAAACCCGCCCAAACTTATGTTTTTGAAGGGGCAGTGGACGAAGAGGATGGACAGAAATAATCTGGGTTAAGGGTAAAAAGGCATAGAAGCATCTGACAGTTGTAATAATGTGCATCTGATACTTTTACCTCAGTAAGATTATGAAATTACGTATTTTCTGGATGTTTGTGATTTTTGACCCTTCATCAAATTCTGGCTTTAGACCAGATAGGAATACTATAACCATTATGGGTAAGAAAAAGGTCTGTCTAATGTCCTATCCTGTCTCCAGTGGGAAAAGAACAGGGCAAACATAAGTATAAACTTGACAGGTACCTTTCCAGTCTTCAGCAGATACACTTCTAACTATTGCTTCATGAAGTTATTAATGCACAGCTCCATTTTAGGTAAGTGTATGTTAATAACTGTTAAAAAAAAAATATCACTTCTCCGAGACTCCTTCCCCTCTCAGATGTGGTATGTACATATGGAATTTATGTATTTTTCCAGGTGTAATAAAACATCTAGTTTACAAGAAGACAGCAAACAGAGTGTGCTGAAGCCAACATCTCTAAAGAGAGGCAGAGAGCAGAGACCAAAACCAAATTTGGGAAGAACTGTTGCAAGGCAAAAAGACCTGACAGATGAAAAGGATCCTGAAGAGAAGACTGAAGATGAAGTAGAGAAAGGTGTGATACACCATACAGATGAAAACAATAATCCAAGCCTCAAAAAAGTAAGTTTCTTGAGCAGTTGCTTAGGTACATGATTTTGCTGGATCCTAAGTAGAAGCCTTTAACAAAAATACAAGTACATACCACATAACTTGTAACTGTAGCCTTTGCACGATTTGTTTATTCTTTCAGAATGAGCTGAATTGTCATAAAATTTCCTCATGCTTGCACTTGGGTTCTGTTTTCCATAGATAGATGGATTATATTTCACTTTGTTGTGTTATTTGTGAAATATCTGAAAAGGGAAGTGCAGATTAAAAAGGTCTCTTGGAAAAGAGATCACTTTAGATAGTATATAAAAAATAATAAATTTTTACTTTTAAGGTACATACTGATATTAGTTGGGTGCACGGTAAGCAAGAGAGATCTTTTTAAGTGTTTTCGCAAAAGGTACTAAAACTTTTATTTTCCCCCTGCTCTTTTAAAAGAAGGGTTGAGCAAATCTTTCATCTTAATAGAGTGAAATTTTTATTCCTTTTAGGATGTGACTGTTCATGAAGACATTCAGCTATGCAATGTGATATTAGAAGGGGATGTTTCTACAAATAATGAGATTAACTCAGTACATACAAGGCAGTGTTCCCAAAACAAGTCCTTGGAAGCAGGAGGCTATGAAAATGAAAAGGGATTGTCAGATGTCTTGAAACAGGTTTCAGATTTCAGTACACGGTAAGGTTAATTTTTTAAATGGAGAGAAGGGATGGGTCAAAATCATTGATATCCCTAGCTATTCTACACTTCTACGTTCAACTTCAGCATTAATAATGAGTTTTATATCTATAATGAAATGTTTAATCAAGACAATACTAGACTTATACAAACAAAACCCCAAGAGCTTGAAAGCACTAAATTTATATGCTGTTGGATGTTAATTTGATCTTTAGACTGTGAGCCCAGTTTTCAAATAAAAACATTTTTCTGATGCTTCGTTCCTGTGGTTATCTTCTCCATGTTGGTCCCAACAGTGCATCCATATATGCTTATGCAAATCCTTGAAGTTGCAGTTCTGAAATGGCACCTTTTTTAAACTTTTCTCACCTGTTTATAAGTTACACAGATTTTTAATGATGATCAATGTTCTTTTATTGGATCTTTTTTCACAGTGTCAGTAACTCTGTTATTGCTCTTAAGGATTTTTATACTTGGCTACTGTATTGGAGAGCTACATAGAAGTATGATATGTGTGACATATTGGAGGACCACTGTTGTCCCATGCCTTTGATTGTTCTTTTATTTGTTTTTGTAGGGAGTCTGATTCTCAAAAGGAAGAGGAGAAAACTGTTGTATCATCATGTCCATCTCGACTGCTGAGGAGTCGATTCCAGAGACCCAAGCCAAATTTAAGAATGACAACTGATAGAAAGGAAGTGCTGGATGTAAACAATAAAGGTGTATCACAGAAAGATACCAACAAGGAAGAAAGTTTGACACAGCATGACAGTGAATGTAGCATCCTTCCTGATACAGACGTGAGGCACCTTTTTCTTTAGTTATATTTGAGCTTTTGGGTTTGTGAAATGAAATACTGATATTTTAAAAACTACAAAGTTAATAATTTTGAATTTTTTTTTTTCAAAAGCTGAAATTTTATACCTGAAATCTCCTGTTCATGTAAGAGCAAAAATTACATCCATTTGATAGCTCTTATATATCCAGTGTGGTTTTGAGCTGAGGTGGCCTTGTAGAATTGACAATGAAGAAAGAAAACTATTTATAGACAATGGCAAAGAAGAAATCTAGATTTCAAGCTACTTTGTTTAAAAGAAACAAATGTGTGTTTGTTGTGGAAAGACTAGGAAGTTATTAGTGAGCAGTGATGGAGGGGTTTTTACAGGAAACACTTCAGAGAGTGATTAATACTGAACTTTGTGGGCATCATAGTGTCTCCTTTTGGTTTAGCATCATGACCTTTTCTGGTTCTTTTGTTAACATTTTTTTTTAGAAAGCAGAAAAATATGAAGTCCAGCAACCATTGGAATCCTTAGGAAAGGAGAAGTCACTTGGCTCTCATCAGGTTTCTGAAAGGACAAGTTCTAAGTCCTCAGAGACATTTTCAGGACCAAAGGATGGTGAACTCAAGTTTTGTCTGCCTGAAATTAACCAAGATGACACTTCAACTACTAATGCAGGGTAAGGGCTTAGCTACTTTTGTTTCTTGACTGTAACAATGAAAGTATTTTAAAAGGAAGTAATTGTGCCAATGGATTGCTAACTGACAAAGAAAATCTAATAAAAACACTAAACAAAATCTCAGTTCTCTGTTGACACTTGTGGTACTAAAATTCCAGTTACTTCCATGCCAAGCATTAATGAGCATTCATTCATCATCTGAAACAGTACTTTAATTTCATGTAAGCAGAGGAATACTAGTTTGCTTATCAGAGAAAAATTGCTTTATAGTAATAAGCAGACAGTAAGTGGGTTAGTTAATTGTGTTGTGGAAATAGTTAGGAGACCAGTGCTTTGAAATTTTTGCTTAAACAAAGTTTTGTGTTTGTAACTTAAACTCAGCAGAACTTTACCTTTACATGGTTTCTTTTAAAAATTCAGTTGTTTTTCATGTGAAAATATAATGAACCTGTGTTTGTTAATGGCATGCTTTTGTATTAAGTTGCAGTTTAATTTTTTTCTGTCTGATTTAGCATTGCTAGCAAGAATGCCACTGAAGAAGAAAGTAAACAAACATCTCTTCAACCTGTCCCGTTAGTGCGGAGCAGGTTCCAGAGGTACAAGCCAAACTTAAGAGCTGTTGGAAAGAAGGAATTACAAGCATCAGAAAATGAGAGGGAGAAAAAGCCTGAAGCAAAGCAGTTGTTATTGCAAAAAGATGAGTCTGCCAATACTGTCATCGTAAGTCTTAAGTGCTTTGGCTTCAAAAGTTTGGTTCCTAGATGTATGTTCTATTTTATGAAGTTAAACTAGAACATTTAAGTTGCATTTCTTGAAGCTGAGATACGATATTAGATGATGAAGCTTCCCAAACCCTGGTATGTTGAGGTGTTGCAGGTATGACATCAGTGAAGTCTACAACTTGTACTGTTAACCTCGTCTGGAAAATCAAGATGTGATTTTGATTGAATTGCATGATAGAAAAAAAGGATTATGCACATTTAAGATAAACTCTAGATTAAAAATGTGGTTTATATTGCAATACATAAAAATTAGCTTATTTGCTCATCTTTCCTGTTTGGATGAATCAAGTCTGTGTTGAGGAATCTAGTATATAGTATCAAGAGAAGGCAGGAGATAGCTATTTTTCTGTAAGAAAGTAAGTTCTTATTACTTTGAACTTTGGCTTCACCACTGCAGTGCCTGACACTCCTCTACTTTGCACATGTAAATTGAGTCATTCACCTACACTGTGTATCCCCACAGCTACTTTACTAGGCACTGTAAAACCTACTGAAATCCTTGAAAGTCATTGTAGTATGAGAACTCTCTACAACCCTTTTGTAGGTTGTTAATGAGTCATGTCATGATTGTAGGTGTGTCTCTGTAGACTTACCTTAGATCTCAAGCATAGCTAACCTTTGTAAGAGTGACTCATCTTTCTTCGAGTGGTTATAGCTGGTTTTGTTCTTGAACATGTGTAGAGCTAGCTGGGAGTACTTGTACTCTGAGAGGAGTACTAGTGCACTGCTTCTGTAGTCTCCCTCTGTGCCACAGTGTCAACTCACCCCTACCTGAAATGGTTGCTTCTGGTTCAGCTTTGGCTATTTGAGACCTGTGGCCTGTAGATGACGCATGTACATCTGCTGTGTGCTGTGCAAATCTGTAGAACCACAGCAGGTCTGATGATCCTCTGTACTAATAAAGCTGTCAGACCTGGAGTGAGGGATGTGTTTGAGTGGCTTCTTTGTGGAACCAGAGTGGCAAATATAGAAGTAAAACTAATGAGCCCTTCTGAATCTGAGGTTATGTTACAGTAGCTTGGGTGTGTCCGTGCAAGTGTCCAGTTTTCAAAGATTTTTCCATTTGCTAAAGTATTTTGTTCCCATAGTGCTCCATGTAATAGAGAGTTGATTGAATGCTAAATAGGTGTTACCCATAGTGCTGAGGTGCCTATAGTATTTAAGAGCCTGCCTTAGTACCCCAGGACTAAGAAGACTTATGTTCTTGCTTGCCTATAAATTGATTTATGTGCCCAGGGAGTTTACCCTCAATAAATATAAGGTGATTCTTTTCTTGGTTTAGATTGGGAAAATAGTTCAGAGACCAGTCAGTGATACTTTTTTATAAAATACACAGTTGTTTTTAAAACTTGCTTGATTCTTTTTTTCTTCATGCTTTTTTAATTGCAAATTAAAGGGTGAAAATGAAGCTGTATTGTGTCAAGCAGATGTATTGAGCAAAGAGGAGCAGGAACCACAAGAGGCACCTCAGGTGCCCTGTATTTCTGAAAACATATTGTGTGAACAAAGCAGGTGAGGTTACAGTTTAGCAAAATTGCATTTGAAAAGCTTTCAATTGGTGCATAATGAGATATGTTTGCAAGTGTCTTTTTGTTTCTTGTTCCTTGTTACCTGTCTTTCCCCAGGTTTAATTTTCAGTGCCTACAGACAGCTTCTTCCTGTGCTTTCAGAGCACATTTTTAGTTGAGCTGAGCTACTTGTCATTGTTTATCTGGTATATACTTGATCTGTATGAGCTCATAGAAATTTTTGAGTAAGTTTTTATTTTACTTGGTTTGTATTTGTGTAAACAGCAATCATACATGTAACAGATAGGTTTTACAAAATGTCAGAGATTTGTATTTTATTGATCCCAGTGTGCTCTTCTATTTTACTGCTGCTCTTGTTAAAATAATATCTTAAGCATGTATTAGACTGCAGATACTTTGTTAGTATGGTTATCAGCACAACTTTTTCCTTGATGTTAAAAATGCCTTGACAAATCTTGTTATTCCTTCTCACATGTTTACCATAATGTCCAAAATGAGAAATATGTATTTGAAAAGATAGTTTTCCTGATTTTTAAACAGAACAGTATATAACAGTCTCTAACCCTCTTGTATAAGTGTTGATTAAAGACTTAAGGAATGCAGAATTGCTTTCCCCCCCACCCCAAACAAAGTCAAGTGACATTTTTTTATTTTTGTTTTTGTTTGTTTGGTTTGGTTGTTTGCTTTGAATTCACTAGTGCTGAAAAAAACACTTCCCAAGAAAGCATGCTGAGTGCTCTGAAACCAGGACAATTCATAAGGGATGGATCTCTGAGAACTAGACCAAACCTAGAAAGAGCATATAGTGAAAAAGAATCTCAAGTGGCACAACAACTTGCTACTCCAGATGAGGAAGAAGCAATTAAAGGAGAGAATCTGCCTGTGGCAGAAGAATCTGATGAATGTCTTTACTCAAAAGTGAGAATTCTGTTCAGATATTTTTTGACTATACTTTCTGATGCTTTGTTCTGTACCAGCTGTTTTTAAGACATCCAAATAAGCTGTTTTAAATGTATAAATTAATTTTGGACTAGTAAGAATTACATTCTTATTTGATATTTGTATCCTAATATGAGATCTTCTAAAATTCTGTTAATGACATATTGATAATACATAGACATCTGTTAACAAATCTGAAGTCTTAATGTAAACTTTGAAATTTCGGTCATGTTCATGATACATTGAACCAGCATGCCATACTTCTGTTTCTGGATTTCTTTCAAACTCCTTAGTGGTTGCTAATGGAAGACTGTACTGGTTATAGTATCTGTTTTCATTAGATAAATACCTTCTCTAAAGGAACAAGAAACAGTCATGGGTGCCATAAACTACTTGAAAGCTTTTAAGCAAAGTTTTGTCTCAGGTTAACATCTTCATTAACTTACAGTGCTTCATTTTACAGGTGAATTTTGTGCTAATGTTGGGTTTTTCTTCCCTCAAACTTAAGGATAACATGGAAATATTGTTGTCTGTGGGGAATTCGGCCAAGAATGACCACCTAGACATAAATCTAAAAAGCATGAAGTCAGAAACATTCTGTTCCTCTAAAAAATCACCTAACTCTCACAGCAAGGGAGAACAAGAACAACATCGATCTACAGATGCTACAGGAAGCATTCAGCATACCATAGAAAGGTAAAGTTCCCTGTTGACAAAGTAAAAAAGCTCTTTTAAAACTTTGTGTATTTGTCCAGTTGTTTTCATACAGCACTTGCTCTTCGAAGTGTAGGCTTTGAGCTGTGCTAGTCGTTACATTATACATGCTGTGAAGGTCACTAGGTGGCATCCTTAGGTAGTAGAAGGGTTTTTAAGAGGGTTTTTTTCTCAAGTTTGTTTTCTTTTTCAGAAGGTATCTTGCGGGTGAGGGTAGAAGCAAATAATCAGAGTTTAGCTTTCTGCATTTCTCAGTAATACATTCTTAGGGTACAGTGCACTATGAATGTGGACCACTGGAAGGAAGACTGAGCAATGCTATTTGCACTCGCTTGTAATTGAGAAGTGGTAGGTGGAGTAACATAAAATGAATTTGCTGTCCAAGATGTCTTCTGAGTCTCTTCACTTTTTCTTTCCAGTAGAAGTTCATACAATAATGTGCAATGTCCAGGTTCTTTGGTGGAAGGGATACTTTTAAGGTATGTGCAGTATGAGGCAGATTAGTGCCATTTACATGTAACGGTTCTGGGTTATGTTATAAGCTACCTTTTTGCTCAATCTTAGCTAATAGAGAGCAGCCTCAAATCAAGTTACATCTGCTGTTTTCTGAAATTAGCTTCTGATTCCCATCTGTCTCTGAGCCTCTGTTTAAAATCTGTTCCATGACTTATATTGAAATCATATCCCAGAGTTTTTGTGCTAATGTGACAAGGGCCTTACAGTCTTCTTGGCTTCTTTGATGATGGAATTTCACAAAACCACAGAATGGTTGAGGTTGAAAGGGATATCTGGAGGTCATCTGGTCCAAGCCCCCTGCTCAAGCAGGGTCACCTAGAACTGGGTGCCTAATACCATGTCCAAATGGCTTCTCAATATTGCCAAGGATGGAGACTCCTGAGTCTCTTTAGGTAACCTGTGTTTCATTTTGTGCCCACTGCCTCTTGTCCTGTCACTGGGCACCACTGACAAGAGTCTGTCTCCATCTATCTTTACACTTTCCCTTCAGGTATTGATATACATTGAGATTTCCTCACCCACTTTCACCAGGTCTTCTCTTTCTCCAGGCTGAACTGGAGTGAGTGTCCCCACTTTTTTCAGCCTTTTATCATAGGAAAGATGCTTCTGTCTCTTCATCTTTGATGGCCCTTTTCTGGACTCCATTCAGTGTGTCCATGCTTCTCTTGTGGCCAGTTTGGGCTGCTCTGGTACAGTACTCCAGGTGTGGTCTCACCAGCACTGAATAGGGGGTAGAGATCCCCTCCCTCAACCTGCTGGCAATGCTTCTCCTAATGCAGCTCAGGATACTGTAAGCCTGTTTTGCAGCTAGGGCACATTGCTGGCTCATGTTCAACTTGGTGTCCACTGGGATGTCGAGGTTCTTTTCTGCAAAGCTGCTTTCCATCTGGGTGGCCCTCAGTGCCTGGGTTTGTTCCTCCCCGGGTGCAGGACTTTGTTCTTCCTATTGTTAAAGTTCAGGAGGTTCCTGTTAGCCAGTTTCTTCAGCTTGTCCAGGTCCCTCAGGATAGCAGCGTGATGCTCTGGTGTATTATCCACTCCCAGTTTTCTGTCATTTGTGAACTTGCTGAGGGTGCAACCTGCCCCATCATCCAGATCATTAACTGAGATGTTGAACAGGATTGGACACAGTACTGACTTCTAGGGTATTCTCCTAGTTGCTAGCCTCCAGCTAAAGTTTGTGACACTGATCACCAACCTCCAAGCTTGGCCATTCAGTTTTCAGTGGACTTCCAAAGTATGGTTATCCAGCCCATACTTCATTAGATTCTCTGTGAGGATGTTGGGGGGGGGTATTATAAGCCTCATTTAAGTCAAGGTAGATGTTATCTACTGCTTTCCATTTATCGAAGCAGTCCTTTCGCTGTAAAAAGTTACCAAGTTGATTAAGCATGACTTTCCCATTGTGAATCCATGCTCAAGTCACCTTGTTTTTCATGTGTCTGGAAGTGATTTCCAGGATTGGTTGTTCTATTACTGTCCCAGGGACTGAGGTGAGGCTGATTGGCCTGTAGTTCCCTGGATTGTCCTTCTTGCCTTTTCCTGAGACAAGACTTAAGACTTTTAAAGATTTCTGTCTTACTGATCTGAATGTAATAATTTTCATCCTGTTCAAAAGCAGGAGTGCTGGAATTAAGTGAGTGCTGGAATTAATGAATATAATTTTCCTATGGTTGCTTAATTTGGGGAACCTATGGTAGTATAGCTGAAACTTTCTGTTCTACCTGACATCGTAATATTGTTTTCCTTCCAAAAATTTTTTCCAAAAGTGATCAGAAAAGTATGCTATTGCAGAAAAGCAAATTTCTCCTTTTCACATTTTTTTACGTTTTCACATTTCTTGATTATTTTTTTTTTAAATTCACCAACTGAACAAATAAAAATGCAGGACACTTCAGTTCTTCCAGGTAGAAATGAACTTGGTACTTGATAGTAAGCCAAGCTTGTAGAGTGTATTTTGTAGTTCCTGAGAAGTAAAAGTTGAAAAATATTTTTGTAGGTCCAATGATAAATTAAGTTCTGGAGAAGAAATTAAAGAGAGTGATACAAAGCCTTTGCATCAAGTGAGGGAACCCCACTGGGACTCAAAGCCAAACCTAATGAGAGTTACTAGAAAAAGAGATTATCCTGAAGAAGGTGAAAACAGAGAAGAGGACAAGGCTGAGAGTAAAAATTCAGAAGAATGTTTGGTGTTAGAAAAAACAGGCATATCAATGGTAAGTGCTGATCATGTGGTTTGAGCCAATTTATACCTCAGTTCTTGTGTTTAGAAACATAGAGGGCACAGAAATCCACTATATGGCTGGCAAAGGTTAATGTGATTCTTTTAATTTCTTTTCACTATTCGAAATGATGCTGGATAAATGGACTTAGAATCTAAAAACATACTTAATGTACGCTATTGTTTTACAGTTTACATGGTCAGAAGTCTGCATTATCATAAATGCACGTTAACATTGTTACCAATTAATTTAATGTCTGTTATTCATTGAACCATGGAAATTAAGGCAGCTGTCTATATATAACATCACATACTACCTAAAATCCATATAAGTATACTTGTAAGTTGAAATGTAGGTGAACAGAGTTCAGATGTTCTTCTTAAATTAGCTCAACAGGCCTAACTTAGCCCAGGTTAATGATAGTTGCAATACCTGAATCAGCTTTGTCTGGTGTTCCTTATTTTCTAGATGGGTAAGTGCTTTAAGTTAACATGTTTTAGCCAGTATGTTCTGGGATATGTTTGTGGGTGTGTGTCTGTTTTGAATAATACTGAAATGTTGCTCTGTAAACTATGGTTGTTTTTTTCCTCATAGTTTGTTCCCAGGGCAGAAAAATTTTTTTTTTTCCTTAAAATTGTTCTTTAAATTATTAGGTAGTTTTAGAAAATTATTCATCTTTCCAGCTTCTGAAGAGCTGCTTCTCTTGATAAGTTCAGCATGGTCATGGTCTATTAACTAGCAGCAGCATTGGAAACTTAAACATCATAGATAATACCATCTAATGACACTTCCGCTGGAAGGCCTAGAATTCAGGAAAATGGGGGAAAATGTTCTAAGCTGTCAGAGATGATAGCTGAGCATGTTTTCAAGAACCTTAAACATAGTTTTTTAAATCTTTTTGTCACCAAAACCAGTTAAAAATGTATGGCACTTAATATGGTAGCAATATCTCCTCTGTTCAGCAAAACTCTAGTAACACAGTGGAAGCTGCATCCTCCTCAGAGGCTACAAGAAAACACAATTTTACAGACTCTGTTGATGAACCATCTTATAAAAGAATCAGGCAGGATAGTAGACTCCATTCTCCAGAGACACTGTCAGAGAGTCAAGTAGAACGAGAAGATGATTCTCAGCTTTCTACCTCGCAGGAAAAGAATTCAGACAGTCTCACAAGGTAAAAGAATTAATTTTAGCCTCTAAGCTTGACTAATTGGTTTTAGCTCTTGTTTTAAAAACTTAGCCATAGCTCTGCAATACATGAGTGCATGCAGGATGTCAGTCCTTGTGTCTTCCATTTGAACTCTACCAGATGCAGGCAGATATCCATCCGTATGTCTCTCACCCTGCCTGCGCTCTCATAAAATGAACACAACTAGCACTACCAGTGACCTGTCCCAGGGTCCACCTTTGATTTAAACAGGAATTCCTATTTTAAAGGGGAGGACTTTGAAGTACCCATATTGGGGGTACAAGGATTGTGGGATTAACCTAAACAAACTCTGTGCTGGTAGTGTTGTCTGCTGCTATTTGTTTCCCTTCCCCACCAGTTTACCAAGGAGGATGTTTTTGAGGGGAAATTTGGAATCGCTTTTGATAGCCAGAGTGATCATGCTCATCATTTTGAGGATGGAAGCAGTAAGCAGCTGATTATTGAAGATTGCTGTCTGAGAAACCAGAGCAGATAACTAATTACCGTCTAGCAGTTTTAGTTTCTAGACATTAGTCTGATCAACTAAAGTGTCATCGTTCAGGGCTCCTAGTATAGCTTTAGCAAAAGATAACTGTAAATGTTCACATGACATCAAAAATGTGTGACTCCCACGTCCCTCAAAAGAAATTAATTCATGCTTTTCTAGTCAAAGAATTCTTTATCTTAAATCTAATTGTGCAGCTTTCCAATACTCTAAAACTGCTTAATTCATATTTACAATCAGTACTTCATGCATGCATATGTGAAGAAATTAGTATTTCTGATTAAATGGTATTTTTGTTACTATACATTAGGCAGTAAATAGATTGTTTTGTTGGTCACAGTGATCTGTTTTCATTCATTGAGATTGTTTTGATTTGCAGTACCCCTTTGTTTGGAATGCATTAGACTTCATTGTTTTTAATCATGTTTTTGTTCTGTACTTTAGAAGGCAGTCCAGAAGGTTATCAAAACGGATAGCACTGCCAAAACATACCTTCGAGCTAAGAACTGCTGCTTCTTCTGCCTCTGAATGTGAGGCTGATTGCAGTGATAAGGGGAATCAAAGGCAAGAAGTTAAAGTGAATGTTACTAGAGGCAAAAATTTGAAAACTACATATAAAAAGAAACCTGAGAAGGAGCACAGAAGTTCGAAGATAACCTTGGTGACCCTCCGGGCCTCTCAGGAGGAGGAAGAGGAGGAGGAGGCAGATGACTTTCAGCCTGATGATGAAGATCAGTGCTTTGCACCAGATGAAGTAAACAAAGCTCCAGTGTTTGTTCCTATAGGTCTTCGATCTCCAAAGCCTACACCTGTTCAGATAGAGGAAACCATGGAGGAGGTATCATGTAACTAGCTTCTGCATATGTACTTTTGTTACATTTGTTTAAACGGCTTTTGTTATAATTCCATCTCCCAGTACTTGGGTTTTATCCCAGTTAGTTAAGAATGGCATTGAGAGTAGCAGGGAGGTTAATTGGCACATACACTTGGTTTTGAACAGAATATAACCTCAGTCTAAGGTCTAGTTATATTTACAAACTATATAGGTCTGCAGGGTGCTCACCAGCTTGTTGGGATTGAATGTAGGCACAGTCTGTTATGCTTACTGTGTGTTTTGGGGCCCAAGGTGGCACAAATGGAGCATTTCAATTTTACATTTGAATATTAGGAAATAAGGGAATGAGGGAGATGTTTCTGAGTGTTGTGTCCCTCGCACCAAGAAACTTTCAACAGTGTGATAGACTGACCCTGACCAGCAGCCAGGCACACACAGAGCTTCTTGCTCACTCACATCTCCTGATGGACAGGGAGAAAACAGAAGGACGATAAGAAGACTTTCAGATTGAAATAAAGACAGGTCAGTAGGTGAAGCAGAAGCTGCATGTGAAAGCAAGGCAAAATAAGGAATTTGTTCACTGCTTTCCATGGGCAGGCCACTTCCTGGAAAGCAGGGCCTCGGTCTGCGTAAGACTTACTCTAGAAAACAAATGCTACAACCACAAATGCCTTCCTCTTCCTTTCCCTAAGCTTTGTTTGATGAACATGACATGAAATATCCTGTAGTTCAGTTTGGGTCAGCTGTCCCAGCTGTGTGCTCTTGTGGCATCTTGCCCATCTCCAGCCTCCTTGATGGGGCAGAGTAGCAAAGCAAAAGCTTTGGCATTGTGCAAGCACTGTTCAGAAATAGCAAAACCACTGGTGTATTATCAACACTATTGTAGTCATAAATCCAAAACACAGCACCATGTGGGCTGCTATGAAGAAAACTGAGTTTACCCCAGACATGCCCAGTACACTCTTCACTCTTTATTTCATGCTATTTGTCATGCTCAGGCCCTACACTATCCAGTACATCCTTATTAACCACAACTTCTCTTCCTGTCCTTTGATATATATACATGGATGTCTTTCCCTTGGTCTGTGGACCACTCCTTTACAATGTCCACCAGATGTCCTTTGGGTGAAGTCCATGCATTGGGCTCCATGTATTATGTGGTTGCTAAGGAGAGGTGGTATTTTGAGTTTTTGGGAACCAAAGCCAGCTCAGTTTGGTCACCTCTGGACTTGCCTGGTTTCTTGAGGCTTGTCTTCACTTGATTTATATTGTTCTTGCTATAGTACTTACTATAGCATAGAACTCAAATAGTGGGTTAAAAAAAGTTTAAACATATATCCATTAAATACTCCATCCCTTGTCCTTTTGATTCAGGCTGTGGAATTTGACATTACAGTGGACTTCACTCCTTGCCCATGCTCCGTTGTGGGTCCTCCATGGGCTGCAGTCCATTCAGGGATATTCCTGCTCTGTCTGGCATGGACATATCCATGGGCCTCGGTCCCTGCTGCTGTCAGTGAGAGACCATCTACATCTTTGTTAATTTTTTCCAAAAGCTATATGTTTTGACTCCTCCACAGGCTTTTGGTAGAGTTGGAAAGCCTAGAATGCAGGCCTATGTTTTAATTATATTCTTAGACTACAATAAAAGCTGAGAATGTAAAACTATAGCAAGACTTGGTATCATACCTACTAAGACCAGTCAATAGAGAGGAAATGGCATATTTTTTTGTCATCAGGGAACTGTTGAGGTTTGGGAACAGTGGACTCTTCAAGGTCTTGAAAAGGATTGTGCTCAAAGGCTTAAACATTTTTCTGTTTTTTTCCCCCCTTATCAATCAACATGACTTACTTGCTTTTTTTTTTGTCCTTTCTATCCTGTCTTAAGATATGTCTTCACAGCTCTTTATTTCTTTTTTTTCTTTGTTCCAAATCTGTTTATCTGACCTGATCTATTCATGCCTTAGATCTTCATCACTACTTTTCCCATTTACTGCAGTTCTTTTTGTTTTACTAATAGTCATCTTTCTCTCTTTTCCCATTGAAATGATGCTTTTTTGTCTCCTGAGTTAATCACACCGTTTCTTTCTCTGAGAAACAGCAAGAATGTAAAGCTCAGTCAAAACACCAGGGGAGACTCTAGAACAATAATGAACAGCAAGGTAGTTGTACAGAAGGTTTTGCTGAATCCCTTAATTTCAAAGATGTGAAATACTTTATGTGTGGGGGTGATGGTAAAGCCATGAGTACTCGTAAGGGATATGATTAGATACCAGAGGAGTTGGTTGTTCAGTTGTTGTCAAATTTAAATAGATCAGTGGAAAGCATCTGTAGAAGTGCAAGCCTTTAAAAGCTACCCAGATTAAGCAGTGTTTTTCATAGGAACATGACTGGAAATATTACAACCTTTCTGCCAAATTTCATGTCCTTGTTTCTGAAGATGTCAAATGTCTGAAGTTCTCAGTGAAAAGACAGTGTTAAAGAAGAAAAAGAAATGTAGATAAAATGGTGGGTGACTGTGTGTCTGTGTGTGGATGGATTTATTCCCTAGTCATACTTTGTAAAAAGGCTGAGCAGTTTTTCTTTTGTGAAGATTTAAAAAGCAAAAGAAATGTGAAAACTATCAACACCCATTTGACATAGACAGCCACCATGATCTCAGCCACATAACTTGGTTTGGTGAAGTAATAAGCAACTAAACCCAAGATTCTAGGTTGTCTGATGCTTCCAGTTAGTTACAAGCAGCACTACCAGTTCTGCTTCCAGTTCATATAACTGCTGCCTTCTTAAATCAGAAGGTATGTAATGTAAGACTTGATTTTTTTGGAAGGATCCCATTACATATTCAGTATCTGGTGAGTATATGTGGTTTATAAAAATTTGCATTTGACAGATTTTCTTGGTGGGCTGATGAACTGAAGTACTTTAAAAATTATTTTACAGCTGGAAATACCTGTGAACATACCAGATGCACAGGTGGCTACTGATGCTGAAAATCTCTCTTGTGCATCTGTCCAGCTGGTGGTACAGAGGGAGGAAAAAGTAAGCATCACAACAGCTGTAAGAACGTCTGTTTTTCTTCGTTTTGTTTCATAGCATGGACAAAGCTATGTGGATGGTGTATGGTTGCCATGTGTGCTTGTAACAGTATAGCTTAATAGACTCTTAACCTGTCCCACATAGGTATGAGGGACAGAGGTATGGGAAAACTATGTAAGTAAATATTGTCAGCCTTTAAAATACCCTTTGAAACCCAGGGTAACCTTTGGGCAGGAAATTTACCCAAAAGCCTTAAATTAAAAGTGTGGACTCATTTTATGTAGAACTTTGATACTGTTTTTCTTTTTATTTAAGGAAACTGTACATGAAAATTCAGAGGTAGACAAAGGTAGGTATGCAACAATCATGTTCTTATCTTCACCGTTAACTTGCTACCAATATGTAGTTATTCTTCCTGAAAATTTGGAGATTTATATATCTTACAAAAAAAAAATGCTTATGAGATACTGGATGCTTTCATGTTTTGAAGGAGATTTAAACCATTTTCTTTCTTAACTGTTCTCAATAAAGTATGGGAACCAAGTGTTGCAATGTTCTGTTGCCAGGGTCAGAATATGCCTTTGTGTGTCCCATCGCTTTCCTGTGCTGTGGTTAATTGTACTGGGAGAAGAGGAAACCTTGCACGTGCTTGCGGCTTGATTGATGTGTGACTGAGTAATAAGAAAGAGTGGGTGGTTTCATAGGTTTGTCATCTCTGAGGTCTCTGACTTTAGTATCCTAAACTAGTAAAATAGCATGTGTGACAGACTGCGATCAGTCCTCCAGAAACAAATACTCCTTCTATGTGAGATATGTTACAAATTCTTACGGATCTATTAATTTTTAAAATAGCTTCCACTTTTAATTACATTCTCAATACATTTTCCTAGGAAGCACTGGAAATTGAGTGGACTACTGCCTTAGCTGAAGGAGAGGAAACCTAATTTGTTTTTTCAATTTATTTCAGTACAATAACTTTGGAAGATGGAAATGTTTTGTTGAACATGACCAGTTAATGATAGGCAAGGGGATGAATTCTGGATAGAGATTAGGAATTAGGAGTCTGAAGTGGAATATGGATCCAACACTACAGGTTTTGGGTTACTGTGATTCAATTGTTACCTCTTTGTTTTCCATTTGTGTTGGGCTGACCTTGGCTGATTGCAAGATGCCAACCCAGCTGCTCTGCCACTCCTCTTCCTCAACAGGATGAGGGGAGAAAATAAAATGGAAATGCTTCTGGGTTGAGGTGAAGACAACACCATTTACAAAAACAGATTCAACTTTGGAAACCCTAATTTAACCTATTGCCAAATGAACTAGGTGGGATTGTGAGAAACAAAGCAAAAAATAAAACACCTTCCCCTCTCCACCTTCTTCAGCTCTACTTCACACCTTCATTTCCCACTCCCCTGCCTCTTCCCTCCAAGTGACAGGGAATGGGGGTTGCAGTCACTTCCTATCACTTAATCTCTGCTGCTTCTTCCACTTCATGCTCTTCACCTGCTCCAGCGTGGGACCCTTCCCCTGGCATACAGTTCTTCACAAACTGTTCCAATATGGGGTCCTTCCTGTGGGGTACAGTCCTTCAGGCTAAGTCTGGTCCATCATGGGTCCTCTACAGGGTGCAGTTGCTTCAGGGAATATCTACCTGCTCTGCCAAGGTCTCCTCCATAGGTTGCAGATGAAATCTCTGCTCTCACCAATGTAGCACCTCCTTCCCCTCCTTCCTTAACAACTTTGCTGTTTGTGGGGTTGTTTCTGATACTTTATCCCTTCACTCTTCACTGTTGTGGAACATTTCCCCCTTCCTTAAATATGTTTTCCAAAGATGCCACCATCCTAGCTGCTAGGATCAGCTGTGTCCTGCTGTGGGTCAGTTGGAACTGACTGTATCCAGGGCACGCCCCTGGCTGCCAAGACCTTGCCACCTGTACTGAGTACAGCATTAAAGGGAATAATGTTGCTCAGTGTTTTTACAGTGGTTTGAATTTAGTGGATGAGAACTGCTGTCTGTCTACAAGCATCTTGATCTGTAGTTGGCAACAATTCAAAAAAAATATGAGCTTCACTATATTGATGGTGTCAAATGCTTTTTGTATGTGGATAAATGGGTTTCTGGTTAATGTGCTTGTGATTTAATGTTGTGAATGACTTTGCAGGAATTAATGATGGAAGCACCGAAGCTGCTATGACTTTACTTGCAATGGGTGATCCAATGTTCCAGTTAAAAACAAGCACTGAAGGTATGATCTGACTTATGGAACAAAGCCTTGCATGTACTTTCTGGGTCAATCTAAGGAGAGATGGAGCAGTGGCTACAAAGCTCTTCCATGTGCTGCTGCATAGCAGGAAGTCAAGAGTCTTTTATGCTTTTAGTCCTGCTGAATTTTAGTGCATAGTAAGACTAGGCAGTGGAAGTTGGCTAGGAAAAGGAAGGAAGGCACCTTACTGGATACTGCCAGCTGCATCACTGGGCTAGAAAGATGTTTGAGACCTGTTTTAGGAAGGACATATTTAATCTGGCCACAGATTGGACAAAAGAAAGGAATCTGGTTTAAATGACCATAACTCTCAATGGTCTTTTCAGGCCTTTAATGTGAAGCATAGCTTTTTCCACATAACTATCTACAACCTGAAATTACCTGGGTTTAGTCTAGTATTTTATAGACTTACTTACAATTTATTATCTGCTTTCATTGGTTGAATGTTAGTGTCTGCATTTTTACTATGAGAAGTATGATTTTAGGACTGCATTTACCTGGAATTTGAATCTGCATCTGTGAAATAGCTTTAGGTGCATGGCAAACCTGAGTTTTTTATATTATGCTTTTCTATTCTGTTTATTGTTCTAACCAGAATGGACACACATGTTACCTGCTCAAGAAGAACTGGACATGGCCAGTAGCCTTGTAACCCACACCTACTCCAAACATAATAGAGCTTCTTGTCAGTATTTACTTTCTTCTACCAAGGAACTGTTTCCCTCTGAGGATGAAAGAAACATTAATGTAAAGGATCAAAGCACTGGCACAGGAATAGGTGTTGAAGAATATTTTGAGAAAAATGCTACAGATGCCAGGTTAAATTACTATTTCATTTCCTTTAGGGATAGGGATCCTTTGACACTGCTTACTTTTGCTAGGTTCTTTTTGGCATTTTTATTAAATTACAAGCAGTCTTGCTTTAGCAAAAGTTTCTCAGTTTTTGTAATTGTTATGTAATTTGGAAAACACTTCTTGCCTCGTTCGGACTTTTGTGAGATGTTGGCATATAATTTGGGGGAGGTAGAATTTGTTCTTCACTCCTGAAGTTGTTTACTCTGATGGGGGAGAAAAGAGTGTTTGAACTTAATCGGTATGGATTACCCTTAAATACCAGGCTCATTTTCCCAAAGTACTTTACAGCTAATCAGGGGAGGGCAAATGGCTTAAGTGTCACTGCTGCTGTGGAATGTAGATCAAAGATTTAGAGCAAAGGGATGTCAAGGAACCAGTTGATATTCAATCATTATGGTTATTAATTCTTTATGGTTTTTAATTTTGTTCAAGTATTTGTGAATGTGGAAAATGATGATGGAACACCTTTTCAGAAAAAATCTGCTGGTGATCATGTTGTATTACTTGAAAGGCTTTGTCAATTGCTTGAAGAAACTATCAGATTATACTCTGAAAAATTATAATTGAAGATATTTTGTGATTATTAACAAGAATTTACTACCATGTGATCAGTGTTAGATTTCAGATCTTCTCATGTTTAAATATTTCAATTACTGATCTTTTCTGTAGGTAGGGACCCATTTTAGCTTGCAAAATGCCTACCTGTTCTGATTCCCAGATGATCTTTATTTTTTGTTTTGCCAAATAGTCTTTGTCTCCTCTGCCATCTGCAGCCTGTATGTCAGGTCTTAATTGTCTCATCTACTCCATCTCTCTCTTCTCTGCACTAACTGTCAAAAATCAAAAGCTATATTGATGGCCTTTTTGTTTTTACTTGCAGTGATAACTCTTTGCCTACAGTGAATAGTATGAGACTGACAACAGGCAGACTCCTGAAGCCTGAGCCACCCTTTGGAGTATTGAGGTCCAATGAAAACATAATTCATAGGTCACTTAATACAGCTGTACCTGTGGAACAACTAGAGCAAGTTCAAAGTGGTAAGCCTGTTTCTTACCCTATAGTTCTGAAAATGGTTTCTTCTGATGGATTCACATCTCTTTATGAAATGAAACTAAGATGAAAATCTTCACTTTCTGTTTAGATTCACAAATGATGCATCACCACTGTAATGTAGGGTATCCATTTATGGTATAGTTTTATACATAAATATACCTTTCAGCATAAAATTAAATCTGAATAGCATTTTTCTGTGCAGGTCTTAAATCACCAGAAAGCCCTTAAATTACTGGACTGTGTTACAGAAATACAGTACAGTACAGTCTTTACTAATGTTTTTCCCTTCTATTAAAACTAGAAGGAGAGGTATGCAGTTACAATAAAAGGTTGTCTTCAATCTCTTTATTATCTTCATATCACTGGCAAAATGCCCAACATATGAAAGGCAGATGAGATATGTGTATATGTCTTACATTAAAAACCACATATACACATATATATACACAGCAAAATTGTTAATAATTTTGTAGTGTGTTTGTATATACACATCTAGATATATATATACATTTTATATGCTTATATGTAAAAGTAACACGCATATACATATGCTTATATGTAAAACACATATACATACACACATGCACAAATTAATTTGAATTATTTTTCTTATATATTTTAGAGTCTACAGTCCTGAGAGGTAATGTGGAAATGCAGAAGGTGGAACTAGAACAGGTCAGACGAGCTGCACATGATTCTTCAGTTCTTCATGATTTTGCAACTAGCAGTCTGGAACTTACTAAGCAAGTAGACAAAACTGAGAGGTAGGAAGAATCATCAGTTAATTTTGACTTCATTCCTGAAGTCTCTTAAAATATGTAGCTGAAGTGCATGTATAGTACATATCTGTGATGGAAACAGTGTGCTAACAGATACTCTGTGTGTTTATGCACCTAAGTGTACAGTTCAGACTTTTTAAGGTTTTTTCTCATGCTTAGTGTCCTACAGCTTTTGGACATAACTTATGTTTGCTGTGTCAGAACTTAGTAAACACCTTGCTGCTTAATTGTCTCCCATGAAACTGCATCTGAAAGGAATTGTTAAGGAGTTGATCAGTTTGGAAACGATGAGCTTGTAAGGCTTCCTGTTTGGTCATGCTTTTAGTAGTAAAGTCTCCATTAGTGGTCTTTTTTCTGAAATACTTTATGTAGACTTCTTTGCAGATTATGCATTCTGTTTTCTCTGTAACTACATAAGCTTCATATTAAATAAATAATTATACAGAATTTAGCCCATGCACAGGGTATCTTCAGTTGGTTTAAAATTAACTAGATATATACCTTACAGAACAGGAAAAGATACGAGAGATGCTTGTGGCAATTCAGGAGACTTAAGACCTGTAACTGCATCACCAAAACCTGAAGAATCTCACCTTGGACTAGAGGATCGTCCAAATCAAAGTTCTGTGGGTAGACTTCCTCAGGCAAATCCTTGTCGTCCTGAGCACAATATATGCACAATCAACCTTACTCAGGTAAAGAACTTAATTTAATTACAGTCTAGATGTTCTCAGTTTCTGAAATTCTGTAAAGGAAGAGGTTTTCAGTGCAAATGTACTCACTTATTTTAAAGATTTGGTACTTCAGCTGGTAAATGAAAGCTTTTTTGCATGGGCATAACCAAACAGTATTTCAGACAAACTTAATCTTTGCAAGCCTCAGTTTATAGCATTTCAGCAGTAAGTTATAGATAGATAGATAGATAGATAGATAGATAGATAGATAGATAGATAGATAGATAGATAGATAAGCAAAATTTTGAGCAATTTTTTTTAAGAGTCTTGATGGAGGAATTTACCTAGGACTTGTATTCATTCAGTCTGACCTCTTACTGTTCTATTTATTAAAACTAAAATTAAGATGTCACTGCTGGACACATATTTTCATTGTCAACTTCACTTGCTTTGTTTAAAACAGACTTTATCCTTTGCTGTGCTCTCTCCCATTTATTTCAAAACCCAATTGTAAGCTTTACACATGTATTATGGACAAACTGTCTTTCATATCCATTCCTTGGCAGTGGTTTGTGTATCCCTTTACAGTATAAACTAGAAGTATCTTAATTCTTCGTGAGAGAAAGGTTCACTCTCAGTTCCCTCAGGTTTTCCAGTGTTGCTTGAGAACAGTGTACGTGCAATTACAGTGGAACAGCTGTTGGATAGAGCTTGTTTCCTCAGTGCAACCTGTTGGTATGTCAAGGCTGATCTCATATTGGAACAAGGTGCAAGAATGATTTGGCTCTTACAGGTCTGGCAGTGTGAGAAGAGGCAACTTTCAGTAGAGTATGCCTGTTTTTAGCAATACATGCTGTAAAAGTGAATGGATAGCTGAGTTGAAGAGCTTGGTGCTTTTCTTTGCCACTCAATGGTTTTGTAACTTTTGGGGGAGTTTGTTTTCTTAATGCCACTGAGCAATTTATTGTGTGAGTCATCTCTGACAGAGTTATGCTCTAGGAAGTATAAATTTGTTTTGACAAAACATCAATATAGACAATGAGCTGCATATAAATTTTACGTTGCCCAAGTGTCTTTTGTCTTTGTCAGGCTAATATCCTTCAGCCTAAAATAGCTAGAAGTAAAAGCGTACAAATGCAATTATGATGATGTAATTAGATTTTTTTTTTGTCTCTTCAGCATCTGAAATGCTTTGTTTCTTTACTGCTTTCTGGAGTTATTTCTCAGATTTATTAAGCTGTTTTATTTCAAATGTGTTATTTCTAGAATGCAGCTTGGGCTCAGGACGCTCAGCAACAATGTATAAGCAGCACAGAAGAGACTTCAGGTATAATGTGCTAATATTCTAAGTTAGCAAAAGCCCACACTTGTTTATCTTGTGGTTATGCAAAAAGGAATATAAAAAATTTAAAATGCTTTCAATGACATTATTGATTAGTCTATTTCATTAACAAAAACAATGACCTGCAGCACAGTGCCATTCCCTTCCCTAGCCTCTTATTAGATTTCATTAACACAAACTAACTTGGGAACTTTTTGAATGACACTTCATTAAGTTTAAATATCAGTGGAAACAAAACTACTTGTTCTCCCTTCTGTGAACTACTGCTCCATACCTCTTGCTTGGTTAGAGCCCTTCATGAGCCCCTGACTTCTCTGTAAAAAGTTCAATGTAACAGAGGGAGAGAAGCTGTGTAGTTTTCCACTGGCTTAGTGAGCTATGGTGGTTCATGAAGTTGTGGGGTTAATGCCAGTGTCAGAGTTGTGTTAAGTAGAAGGTCTGGACTGTGCAAGTGTGGAGCAGGGGAGAAAGAAGAGGGGAAGAAAAGGAAAGAATACAACCAGCCTTCTCTCTTTAGCTGTAGTGAGTCAGCAGATAAACTCCTAACTGATAAGATGTGATGAAAGATATAAAGGTGACTGCTTTTCTCTAAAACAAATTGAAATGGAGCTGGTTTGGAACAAATACTTCTGTAAGGTATGGGAAAATCACTGTGTCAGAAGCCCAGAATACTTACTTCACATGGAAACGGCACTCCAAAGTTGAAACTCCTGAGCATGTGTAAAAGCTAATACTTCTTTGTAAACATCTGTTGTTATGCTCTGTTACTGCAAGGATCTTGGGACGGAGCATTTTAAATCATCTTTAATGAGATAAAGAACCAAAGTGAGTTGAGGTTGGAATAACAGTAGCTTTACATCATCAAGAACAAGAACTGTCTTAAGTAATGGAGCAGCACTATTGTTTTCTATCTTTTGAAAACTTTACAAATGTTCTCTCCATAAATTAATTCTAATGGATGGCAGTTGGCAGTTATTTGTTAATGTCCATGTTCTGGTTTCGGCTGGGATAGAGTTTATTTTCCTTCTCAGTAGCTAGAATAGTGCTGTGCTTTGGATTCAGTATGGGGTTTGATATGAGAAGAATGTTGATAATACACTGATATTTTTAGTTGTTGCTAACAAATCAAGGACTTCCATGTTCCCATATCTCAGTAGTGTGCAGGTGCACAAGGGAGCAGAGCCAGAGCAATGGACCTAAATTGGCCAATGAAATATTCTGTATGACATAATATCCTGCTCAGTATATAGATAAAGTTTGTTCAGGAAGCTGGGGCACTCTTTTTTTCTGGGATTACAGTTTCAGGATCTCTTGTTTGTACATTCTATTATTATTGTTACGGTTATTACTGTTATTTTATTGCAATTAGTAAATTGTTTTAGCTCAACCTATGAATCTCCTTACCTTTACCCCTCCAATTATCTCCCCCATCCCCTGGGGTGGGGGAGGGTGAGCGAGTGGTGGTGTTTGGCAGCTTGTGGTATTTAAACCATGACAGTCCATCTCTTGACTAAAATTTTTATATTTTTCATATATTAAACTCAAGACTATACTTCTCATGTCCTCTTCTGCAAGTCCACAGTGAGGGGAAAAATCCTTGAGCTTGCTGTCAAAACAGCGAGTCCTGCCATTTAAAGAACTAACTCTTAATATCTGACAGGTGCAATTAAAGAAGGTCATTTGACCACCATTACACAAGTTCAGTTAAACTGCAAATTGTTCTTTAATGCTGGAACACCCATTTAAAAAGCTCCATCCCCACTAGGCTTTTAAATATTCTTTGTTCTGAATGGTAATTAGGACTCCACTGCACTGAATAGGCTCCAGGGGGTGATGATGTGTATCTCATCTAAGAATAAAGGAGGCATATTGTCTCAAAAATATCCCCAGTGCCTTTTTCCATGGAGAAATGAGTGCCCAAAATTTAATTAGTCAGGGTGGGGAGGGCATGAAGAGAACAGCGTAATTTCAAACTTGAATAATAGATTTTTGTTCTTTATTTCCCAGAAAAAAATAAAGTAGTCAACAATGATCACAGATGTCCAGAGGAGGAACAGACATTCATTTTAACATTGGTGGAAATCCCAGCTGACTCAAAAGAGTTTGATGCATCTGCATTGCTAGAACAAACTTCAGAACCATTACTACCAGCCCCAATACTTATCAGCCCAATAAATGCAAGTGAAACAAGTGTGACTGAAGTGGAGAGGTAAATGCTCTGTTTTGAGCGAAGTGAAAGAAACTTTTTGTGAGCCTTGATTGTTTCCTGAATGTGTATTAGAGACTAGAACTTCTCAAAAGAAGAAATGTGAGAGGAAATAATTTTGGCAGACCAGTGAGAGAATTAAGCAGACAAAAAGGCCTCTCATTAGATTTGAGAAAGATGTCATTGGTGGTTTAAAGTTAGTGTTTTAGTCAGCTATGATTTTGGTGTCCATCTTAATTTTGTTTTATTCTTTAGGGCAAGTCTTCCTTTTTAGTAGAAGTCATTTGTTCATCCTGAGTCTATTCTGCCATGGATAGTTAGAATAAAAAGTAATTGAAATGAAAAACCTAAGCATGTTTCATTTTTACAGTACTCCGCTTTGTAAAGTAACTGTTTATTAATTGCTTTTCCAGATTTTTAGTGTAGATGGTCTTCTGGATAACATGATAAACAGTGGACATAAATTCAGATAGTCTAATGAGTTTGTGCCATGTTCAAAAGGCAGAAGAGCTGGAAAAGCAAACATTAATTAGTCAACAGAACAATAGCTGGTTTGAAGTACTGCAATACAAAGGGGTTGAGTTGGTTTTTTTTTTACAAGGAGTACTCCTCAGTCCTATGTAACAAAAGTGTTATTTCAGTGTTACAGTTAAGCTTAATCTCCTGGTCAGTTTGGGACCACAACCCAACATCAAAGGAAAAAGACATTCTGAAGAATAAGAAAGGTTGCAAAGTTGTAAAAACCCCTATTACTATATTAATGTAAGTCCTCAGATCATAACTAGAGATGTGATGCAGTTCCACATCATTATGGAGAACCTTTCCCTGTGACATCAGGTGTTAATGTCACTCACATAGTTATTGAAAGGATAGGTCTTTTGAGTTAATTTTGTCTACACAATTTAAGAATTCTAACTCCTTTGGAACTACTGATGATAGACAGAATTCTGACAGGTGGAGTTAAAGTAAGTACATCTTCGGTCTCACTGTTCCCTTACTGCTGTACCCGACTTCACTAGCCTCTGCTGCTTGCCTAGATGTCTTGCTGTCTTCAGAGATTATACTGGAAGGTGTGTGGGGGTGTGTGGATGAAGATTCAACTGTGCATATAAGTAATACTGTATTTCAGGATTTTCTAGGGCAGTTAATTAGTTGTCATATTTTTACATTTTATGAAAATATCAAGTGGAGTTCAAATAGAACAGCTTCGAAAGTAACTAGATTAAATTGTGACTAGAAGAACTAAATTCTCTAATTCAAGATAGCACAGCAAAATGTTTCTTGGTACTAAATAGTACATTTGAAGTTAATATTTGCATTAAGAAAGAGTATCACCATAAATCTGTGTGTAATTTCCATACAGAAATGTTATACAAAGTAAATTTTGGCTTCTTGTATGGTCACAATAATGACTTTATATATAAACAGCACTGGATCCTTGACAACTGCAGCTGATGAATTTGGTGCACCTTTAAACAGCAGTACGAGAACCAAACTACTAGAGAGTGCATCAGTAGAGCCCATTCCAAATTTGCAGACAGCTCAGAAAAGGTCAGCTGCTGAACTTGAAGAGAATGATTTTCCTCCTGCCAAGAAAACTCTGTCTACTGTTGTTGTGGAATGTAACTCAGAAACCACTCATAAGGTGAGAACATAACTTGGTAAGTGAGTCTTTATGCATAGTGAGGATGCATAATATGTTATAGAACATTTTAATGATGTTCATTGCTTAAGTGTCACTTGCTTAAAAACGTTTTTTCTGTACAACTTTAAAGGAAAATCAGCACCACTAGATTGTTTTTTATTTTGAACTCTACAACAGTTTTGGGGCTGTTGATTTAGTATTAAGTTTTTGGAGAATCTGTAAGTCTAAGCCTGTCAAGGTTTTTTTATTAGGTTTCCAGGTAGGCAGACTAATATGGTGTCTTACTTGGTTCATTCACAATCTTCCTGACAATGACATTGCAGGATGGAGAACTCTGGATGTATATTGGATGACTGGCAGACTATCTAGGTTTACTGAACAATGTTGTTATTCCTCATGGTGTCTGTTACATGAAGAATTTGTTAGACACGTTCCTACCATTTTCTAAAAACATTATTTTAAAAGAAAAAGCTGCAAATAAAAACTGGCCAGCATGTTTCCAGCTTTCCTCTGTGCTTTTAGAATATGACCAAGCTTGTGGCAGTGACTACCACAGTTTTTTGTGAGTAGGCTAAGACTGTGCAGTGTATCTAGGTGAGGGAATGGGCAATAATTTCCCACATGATTCAGACAGCTTTTCTAGGAAGGACTGGATAACAATTCTCTTCCTTTTTTGATCTCTCATCTTAACATGCTTGTCTTGAGTCATTTGTCAAAAGAACACCTTGAAAAGCCTGCTCAGGAAATTAGTTAAGTGATGAATGATACGGTACTGAAGATGTAGTCTTCAGTATCACTCCTGTTCTTAGAACTGTAGATGAGTGATATGACTTAGTGAACTTTTTATTGCCTCTTCTATATTGAGAGAAATGGAGAAATAACTTTTTTTTTTTCTTTTTTAAATACAGGGTTTTTCAATTAAATCCACAGATGCTGCAAGAATAGCTTCTGGTAGGTAAACTTAAACTTGTAAAAAAAAAAAAAAAAAGAATGTAAATGCTTACAGTTTACCTCACTGTTTAATACTGGTTGTTGTGCTAAGTAGTCCTGTCTGAAGCTATCCTAACATAAAAGTAGAAACGAATTTTCCCAGTAATACCCTAATACCACCATTGCATGTTTTCTGCTATAAACTAGATGTGTGAATTAAATAACTGGCTGTTAATTTAATAATGGTTCTAAAAACATTGCTAGCTAGTCTGTGAAATTTGGGAGATTTTTTTTGACTAAAACTGATACCTTAAACAAATATTTTCACTTATTGGAGAGCACTAATAACCAAAGGTATTAACTGATATTTTAACCATACTTTGTCAAAATAATTTATTTTTATTTTGTATTTGTCTTTTAAAAAAAAAAAAAAAGTATGATGTAATTGTTTGAAAGCTTAATCTGCCTCTGAAGAATCAGAAGGAAAGCAGAATTGCTGACAAAGCAGTCTTTAGCGATCTGAGCCTGTAAAGGGTTTGGAGAACTACTTTTTGGCCCTGAAAGACGTAAAGGGAAATTGTAGAAGCTTAAACAGCTAGATAACTTGACTAAATTCTGTGGTGTGCTGTAAAGGATGGGATGGGGAGGTGGTGCTGTAAAAATGACACTTCTACCTGCTTTTCCCCATAAGATCTGTAAGGTCTGACAGACTTTAAAAGTAGGCTGTGAACTTTAAATACTTAGGGGTGACTTCAAAAAATAAAACTGAAAAACTGACAAAAAAGCTGAACAGAAATTCAGCCCTTTGCTTGTAATGGTGCAAGCCATCTTAAAATCACACACATCTTTTGGGCTGTTGTGTTATCACTGAAGTAAAGTAACTGAAGTGCTTGAATGATTCTCAACTCGTTTTACAGAGAATCCTTTTCAAAACGCAGAGGCTTCAGCAAAGGAAAAAGTAGTTACCTCTGTGTTGGTGTCTGAGTCTCCGTTGCCACTGGCTGAGAGAAGCCATCCTGAGACTTTGAAGAACTTAGGGAAAGCACCACTTGAGAATTCAACATCCAAACAGCAAGACGAGGTGATGTCTAGATTACCCTCTAAAAGAAAAGCAGAAGTAAGTGGACAAGAAAAGCAGGGGGATGTGCATGAATCTGGACAGTTGCAACATTCTGGAAGCCTAGCATCATCTTCAAAAAATCCATTACTCAGGTATTTATGCAATGTTTTGTCAGCCTGTTATGTAAAAAAGACCTTGTTTCCATATTGAGTTATTTATATCCTTTTCTGACTTACTACAAGAAGGGCAGTACCACTGTTTGTGACCTCCACGGCTAAGAGTTACAGTATCTATGTTCTTCAGCGAATTAGAAAGGATCAAAGTGTCTGCTTTGAAATTTGAATGATTTTATTGATTAGGTGATGAGATTGACCAGGAGACCCTACTGATGTAAGTTATGTCTGTTTAGACACTGACAGATGTCTCTTGTGAGGCACACATCTGTTGGCTATGATATGGATTTAGGATAATTGTTACTTTCCTTAGTTTAGCCTAATGTCCTGATATATACACCTATCCACTCTTTTGGTTTTTTTCCTTCTGTCAAATAAGACATGTTACTGGTACACTGGATTTCTAGGACTAATTTAGGATGTGTCATTTCCTCAAAGGAATTTTACTCTTGACAGCTCAGAGATTATTCCTCTTATCTATCTGTCGGACTGTGGCTTTTTAAATACACCATTCTGTAATATTTGTTTAAGTGTTTGAGTTCCTGCTCTCTATTGATTTTGCACTCACTGATTTTGATTGTGGTGGTCCACTGGTCTCTTCTGATCTTGTCTGCTCTTTCATTATGCTTCTCTGAGTACCAAAACAGATATTTTGTACCACAGAAATTGGGTAATGATGCATTAACATCAGAATCCTTGCCTGAAAGTTTATTTTCTAAGTTGTAAACTCTTAACAACATGAAAAGCTGATACTCTGTGTACCTCCTTCATCACTGTGACTTCTGTAAGTTTACTGGTACTAGATATGATGCTGTTAACAGGCTGAAACCCTGCAACAGGTAGTCTGCTGTGGCCCCATCCTTGGGAATAGGGTTCTTTTTTGTGCTGATTACATGAAGAATGTGCTTTTCTGTTCTTTAGGAATATGTCTCCAGTCCATCTTGGAATCTCTTCCTGAATATCTGGTAGCTTGTTACATGCTCTGGTTCAGTAGCAAAATAGGTTCTTATTTTCAGGGTTGGAGATTGTCAGGAGTCTCTGACTCTTCGGAGAACTTTTGTGCTGGAATATTCAGTAATTAAAAAGTTTCTCAGAAATACTTTTTTTCTTAAAATTTTCATAGATCTCAGAGGTGTGTTTGTTTCCTCTGTAGTGAATTGGACTCCTGTAATACATACTTATATCTTTCTTTTACGGAGCAATCCTGACACCCCTGTATTTGTTTTGAACAGGGGTGGACGAAAACCACTGGGATTTTTATCTTTAATTTGCAAAAAGAATAGTTCTGAATCTGCAGAAGATACCAAAGTGAATAGAGGGAAGATCCAAAAACCTCGGATTGTGACTCCAAAACGAAGTCTCAAAAAATCCAGTCAATCCACTAAGGATGATAGGGAATCTTGTTCCCTTCCCTCTACAAGCACATCGTCATCGATGGAGTATGAGAATGTAGCTGCTGATTCTGCCGTTAGGGTATGTGTTTACTTTTGCATGCTTTTGCATTTCTGAGGTGTGAAGAACAGTGAGTTAGTTGTTCCAGGAGCTGGTAGGTGGGATTGTAGCCTTTATGTTTCGAGGGATATATCTGCTCCAGTGAATAAACTAAACCCTGACTTGTGCACGTCTAGGAAACTTAAAAGGAAACTAAGGTGGTTTGGTTTTTTTTTTCTCTGCACATGTATATACTTGTTTCCCATTTTCAGTAAACTGTTGTTTTTTTTTTTTGTCTATACTTCCTGTCTAAATTGGAAGCTCAAGTGCATATATGTACACACATACATATACATACACACACACAAACAGATTACGACTGTTAAGGGCAGTCTTTTCTTTTTCTATTAGATTCCAAGCAACAAGCCATCTGAGAAGTCACCCCTTTGTGCTAAAGATCAAGAGAAGGAAGAAGAGCCAACCAGAATCTCTGAGTACTTTTTCAGTGACATCTTTATGGAAGTTGATGATTCAGAATAGCAAAATGGCTTTATAAAAACCTAGAATCTGAGAGTATAATGCAACAAGAAAAGAGTATTTTTAAAAAGTTTTGTTTTGTTCTGATATTTATTATGCCACGCTTACAGTCAGCCAAGCTGTTAGTGAATTCCATAAAGATGAAACGGATTCCTTCTGAAGCAACCTCGATAATTCTAAAATGTTGAAATAATCTAAAGCACTACATTGACGTCATTGGACCAGACCAGCAGCTGCCGGCTTAGTTTCACTTGTTTAGATGCTGATAATGGGTGCATGACTTTCTTTGCAGAAAAGTGCAATGAAAAAACGCTTCATCTTGTGACAAGTATCCCTTTGAATTTTAATGCTAAAGCTTGTGGTACTGGCTATACAATTTCTTCACTTCTTTTTGTGAAGTATGTTACATTAGTATGTTAGAAGGATGAATGGATTTTTTATGTATAGTGTAATCTCTGTAGATCAGTATGCAAATACTAGAAGCAGTGTAGTAAACACATAGATATATTGAGCACTTCAGGTATTTTTATTAGCATCTCCAAATTAAGTATTTTTAAAGAGTTTTTAATTATATAAATTAAAAGATCCTAACCTGAAAAGCCAGATGGGTTTAGTTCCTTAAAAACATATTGAGAAAAGCCAGATGGGTTTAGTTCCTTAAAAATATTTTGAGAATAACTGGAACAACAATTTACTAAAAGATGCTATGCAGTGTTAATCTTTGCAACTGTCCTATTGAAGTGGGAAGAAGAGATTGTTTCCTAGTATAAATGCTAATTTCCTTCGCAATTTGAAATCAAGGGGATAGATACCATTACTTTTCCTTGGGTTTTGTGTAGGTGTTGGTCTAGCTGCTGCCTTCCTTGGTTTTCCTTGTGCAAAGTAGCACAAAGAGATTGGATTTAAACCAGGACTATACAGTGTGGTTGCTATGAGGATTTGCTACTTTGAAGCATTTGAATTTGAATGGTTTTCTTTGTTGCATGTCTTGTACTGTAACTTGATATAAAATGCTGTTGTAGCTTTAGATTTTAATGTAATTTTACTTCATCAAGAAGATTGTCTTGATGAGGCAACAAGATTTACGCAGTCTAAAAAACAGGTGATCACAGAAAGATTCAGTATTTATTCTGAAACTCCTTACAGAAAAATGTGTGTAAATTTAGGTAGTCTTAAATATTTATCCTCTTAATACTACCAGGTACTTTTGCAAAACAAATTATTTATTATGAAAGTGAAATGTTTGAACACTCTCTGAAGAAATGTTCAGGCCAAAGCTGAAGATACAATGATTTACTGGCAAGTATTTTCATATAGGTATAGTTAATTTTAAAATACTTGATGAAATTTGAGAATGTTTGCCTTTTTGTAAGTTACTGGCAAGGCTTTTGAAGGAGCCTTTAAAGTTTTGTCAATAAGGAAGAATACACAGAAAAGCTACTGTTACTGCAAACTGCTACTTTAGCAGGCCTCTGCCATTTGCAGCAGTATCTTCTTGAGGCAATGGAAAAGGGACTGAGTCCTTGTGTAAAGTAACTTGCTTGAAAGCATACTGTCAACTCTCCCACCCTCCCACCCCCTGGGAAAAAAAACAAACCCACCACCACCAGTTTCTGTTCAGACAGTATCTTGTGCTTTGCCTAATACATTTAATTTGAAATGTTTATTTAAATATTGTCTTACTGTAAACATTATGAAATAGATTAATCTATACATAAAGCTCTGTGTATTGTATATTCTGTAGATACTATTTTAAGTATGCAAGTGTTTAGTTCCTGATACGTGTGGCATGTTTAAATCACTTGCACGGATAGAGCCTACAAATAGATTTATGGGGAGTGGCTATAAAATAATTGCCCAAAGTACTTTTTGAGGTGATAACCATTCTGCATTTAGTTGTGTACATTTTAGCTTGCATTCATATTACAAGGGGAAAAAAACAACCACCTATTTCAATACTAAGATTTAAGGTGCCTTATCTACCTTGTTAACTGGGGCTACATCCTTTTCCCTGCAGTAAATTGTGCACTTTGTTAGAAGATAATTTTTTAAGGAACAAATTAAATTTTAATAGAGATAAGAAACTTTGTGGTGTTTCTTGTAGGGAAGTTTTATAATGGTGAAGCATGTAAGAAAAGATTGCTGAAATCTCAATGCCTATTATTTTAGCATTTTTACAAAGATGTGGCTTAAGACTGCTTTGCTTGGAGTTGTCTAACACCCTGTATCATCACCTGCAAGCTTTTCTTTGAAAAGTAGTCGTAATCTGTATGTAAATTATGTGAATAAATTATTTTATATTACCTGTGTTTCCATTTCTTATATTATCAGCTGCCATTTAAAAATGTTCGCAGGTACAGTAAGTGGGGGCTAAATGAACGGCTGAAGTTCTGGCTGCAACCCTGGAATGTGTACAGGCCTGCTTATATGGTGGTAACAGACTGATTACACTTTCAATGGGGGCTTTGTGTGGTTTTGGTTTTGTTTTGGTTTTGTTTTACAATAGAGCTCAGAGTTTTCAGTGTCTGGCTTCCCAGTGTTCTCTCTGTAAATACTACAGCCTTTTCAAAACCAAAATGAAACTGGAATGCTGGAAAACAGCAAAGCTTTCAAACAGAAATTAGCGAAGAGATTAGATTTTGATTTTTAAAAAATCTGCCACTCTTACTGTAGCATCTCGGCAGTTCTGCAGTTAATGACAACCCCCCAGCATTTCTCGGACTGGCATTTCTCGGACTTTCCGTGTTGCCCAAGTATGTAAGCCTTTCTGCAAGTGGAGCGTACAGTATTCCTTCACAGGGCGTTCTTTAGCGTCATCTTGCACCGGGGGCCACGGGGACCGAATGGCGCACCTAGTCGGGGTGTACTGACGCCGATCGGTGGAGGGGAAGACTTGTGCTTTTCCCCACCTTAATTCTCGAAGTACCAGCACCCCCCCGAGCGGCAGGACGGGGCTGGCCGAGTCGGGGCGCCGCACCCATCCCGACGGGGCCTCG